AATATGAATATATTGTTGGGTGATCATCGTGAAACGTAACAGATATTTAATGACTAAGCCGAGAGGAATTAAGCGAACAAGAAGCAACTCCATGATCGTGTGCGTACAATGGGGGAAATATCGACCGACCGGTAGATGAGTAATGATTATTCCTACTACCTGATCACTTCAACGTATTCGTTTCCTTTGATTGCGATTGTAGTGATTCGTGATGGGAGTCGTTCAAAGCCATGCTCTCGCCACAATTTATTCACGTCGTAGTAGTGCTGCGGTGTCACTTGTAACGCTCGTTTACAAGCAGATTCCGGTGGATCCGCATAACCACTATCGTCACGCCGTGCACCACCATAACATTCCGGTACGGACTGTACTGTCGTGCAATTGCTATTATTATTTCAGAACTGACCAAATCATTGATCGAATCAAATCGTATCAACTAACTTTCAAAGCGTAGAATAATGTTCGCTTAAAACTTATACTCTTTTAGCAATAATTGAGAGAAATTTTCATAGTGCTAATGGATTCATCACAAGTTCACCAAAATATTTTCTATCTTCTACTGAAAATGTATGCTCGTATGAAAGTGTTGCGTTGCACCGGATCAGTGTAACACCTCTAAAAGAGTAGATTAAAGTAAAAGTGAGCATCAACCAAGACCTTTGCGCTGAGATGCTCAAGGAGATCGGACGGTTTGTCGAGAAACGTGATTCTTGATTGAGTTTTCTTATCCATTATCAACTTGGTTACTTGCCACATTACGCTTAACAGTGCTGGTGAATTGACGATATAGACTTTGATAATCTGCAGTTGTAGACTTTGATAAGAATTTGATAATAATTTGAGATCAGCGTTAAAATCGTATACCGGATCGATTCACAGAATGAAATTTTAGCTCAGCTTCGTTGTGATTTTTCAGTGTAATGTCATACTGTGCATGTGAAGAGACTGCATCATGAAGATGCACTTGCAAACTTACAGTTTCACTGAAGTACTCTGACCAAACTTTAACGACCAATCGAGCCAGTCTAGCTGGTGTGCTGAGTGGATTCAAGAAGTCGGTGATATTGAGACCCTCAAGATCCAGCACAATAACCGCAGCAGCACACGTGCCAGTTTGTTTCTCTTTTGTGAGTACGGCCCGAGTGAATGATTCCAGTAACATAAAGTATGAATGAATCACGTAGCTCAACGGAATAACCTTCATAATCTGCAATTATCGAAAATGTACTTCTATTGCAGACATGTCGTCGATCTGAACGAGCATTTCGCTTGATTGTTAAAACTGAAAAGACGCATACAGTAGAAGTTGTCGCGTGGAAAGACCTACTGATAGCATCTCTAGTCAGTGTCTTCAACATGTTTGTGATGACCTATTGTAATAAACAACATGTTTTTTTGTATAGACCGCTTTAGATGAATCTGAGAACTAGAAAATTGTAATGAATTCGGTACTGAATTGCAATTTCTCGTAAACAAACAGATTTTTCATTCAGCTAAAACTACAGTTTGCCCATCAAAACTGTAGTTTTAGCTGAATGAAAAATGAGGGTACGAGTTGAAGTGAGTGAGGATGCATGAATGCGCTAAGTAAATTACCTCTTTGAGATCTGTGCCGGCCATCTTCTGCAAAAATATGCAAACATTGCCGGAAAAATGATCCTGCGAGAGGGATGAGATCGAAAAGCGCTGAAAATCGGAATTAATAATAGACAAGATCCAACGTGTGAAATTCAATAATCGAGTTATTTCATGCCCTTCACGATTTTGAAGGTTCAGAGAATTAATCGACAGTCTTCGATTAATCGCAGTTAACAGCTGATTCATGCTCTTTGGTCTCACTTTAGATCATTTTGCTAAAGTTTCGAAAGAAGTTAAATGCGACAAAATTGTGGAGTTCCACGCAATTGTTTCAAAGCCCCTCGTTGCCAGTAGTACGAGTGGTGGAGTTCTTCAAGTTCGTACTCTCAACTGGTGTTGAAATTTGGCTGCAGAGCTCGGGCGGATCGTATCCGCAGTTCTAGCGTGTACAAATTTTATGTGTTCATACGCATGACTGCCAATATACAAGCGATATGTGATTGATTGTTGGAAATTTAATCAGTTTTTTGAGCTGATCTCAAAGAGACTGTTTCGAAAACACAAATAAGACTTTTTCTGCATTGACCTCAAAAGTTCTCCTAGCGAAATCAAGTTCCACATCGAACAGTTTCGTGTCCAGTCGATCGTATCCGATCACTCGACGGTGTTCAAACAACTGATGCATTTTGCGTTCGATCATCTTTATATCGCCATTATATGCACGCCACCATCGTGCCAAGTAAAAATCCGTATCGAACTCAGACGGAATTCCCGATACGTGATGGCTGAAAGTTTACAAACTGGTCAAAACTCTTCGTTATGACCAATTCATAAATTTCCTTCTTCTATTAATTCAACTATGCCACTTCCATCCAGTTGTAATGTTTAAAAAAACACACAAACATAAAACTTTCTCATTTGTTTTGAATGTTCACTTTCATACGGTACTCAGAACCGGTTGGTA